AAAGAACAGTTTACGGCAAAGCAGCGGTGCGTGCATATTTCTGACACCGGGCGTCCTACGACCTGCTCAGTCTCCAAACAACAGTCTGGTCCGACTTAAGTTTTTTATTTATAAATTTGATAAAACAGGGGTTTATCTGTTCGCCTGCTAAAATATCCACTATCTGCCCGAATTCCGGCAGATAAAGGATAGAGGATATCGCCTCAATTGCCTCTAGAATCAGCATTCGGAACACGGAGAGTTTTGAGCAATCCGCTGGCTGGTAAAATATCGCTGGAATGGTACCAATCCGCTGGAATTTGTATCTGCGAAACAGGGTCTTTGAAAATTGGAAAAACAAAACCATCCTTTTCAATTGAGTGGAACGTGACCAAAGAACTTCCGGTTCAAGACAGCAACGGAAACATCACGTTGAGAATTGTGCATGGCCGAGTTGTTGATCGGCAAGATTGCACTGGGCCAAAATGTGTCTACAACTGGGCGGTCGAGTTCAACAATGGTGGCAGGGAATTGTTGGAAGTAGAGCAGTTCGCTGCGCTGATTAGCAAGGGCCACCACTAAGAGCTTAGCATTACAGCGCGCTTTTCTAGTCGAAGCGTGACTCACGACATCGTGGTGATAATCATAGTAGTTTCTAATACCACACGATTTTCATTGTACATACAGAAGTATCGATTTCCATCCAATGCAACTTGTATTGAAAAACATCCGGTTTTGTATAGCAGATAAGCTGCACCCGACGAAACGGTATAGGAGATGCAGCGCATACGCGATTAGCAATCAACACGACCCGTGGCTCGGATCGCGCAGCGAGCGGATCGTACGAGGGGCGTCAGCACAGTTAAAGATTTGAAAAAGAGTTGGTGTCCTGGATGAAGAAGTAAACGAATGAATGAAGAAGCAGCGTATCCTGTGGGACGGCAGCTACCGCACTTCTCCCTGCCGGGGCTTCCTATTGCGTGCACCGTAAGAGACTCGACTGGATCTATGCAAACAAACACTCTCTTGAAGAAGAGTTGCGTGCAATGGCTCTGCGACATGAGAGGCTGAATACATTTGAGAAAAATAACTTTTAATGGGCAGCCTTTTTTTTTTTTTGGCGATGGCTTGCGGTTCCCCTTTAACCCCTTTAGAGGTTGGCCTTCTTTCTGGGAAAATAGAGACACGCCCCCTCTTTAGGGAAAAAGAAAAAATTATTGAAGCTCACAACGAAAAAGCGCGAAAGTGCTGAGTTGTTGGAAATTTGAAGAGTGAGATTAATCGTGCGCTAGCTACTTGTAGTCCTAGTTCGAGCTGATCTACATCTAGCCTGTAGCAAAAGGGTAAAGTCTTGGGCAGCACGCGGAAGAGTGCTGCATGCCACCAATCACAGAGTCACCTGAAGGAGCATGGTGCCACCGACCAATAGTTTTCTGTGTGTGCGTGTGCCTTGCCTGTACGTCGTAATCAACGGTAGATGACTACATGTTGACGTGCCTTTCAACACTCCCACTCACGT